ATCACACCGCAAACCTCAGTCACTTTTTTTGCAATATCACTGGAGTATACTTTTCCTTTCTTAGTTCGCAGAACCTCCTGAGTGGTGAACTTTCCGACAACATTAGTCGGAAATCAAGCATCGTGCATTCTCAACAATGTTTTGAAAACCTCAAAAAGCCAGCAACGGAAAAGTGCTGACAGCGAGTACCGTGAATGGGTTGTACAGTGCAAGTTTTTATGAACGAGAACACGGCAGTGCGTGGCCTGCGCACTCTGGTGGCTGCTCGCAACACAAGCCATCATAATGATATGAAACGACTGGCAAGATTGCAATCCCCTCCTCCTTCAAGGTGATTACTGGCTTTTCGTCTAATCGCCTTGATCACCTCCCCATTCAAGAGGGAGGCGGTTTTAGTCTTGCCGCTGGTTCCATAACACCAATGAGTGGTTGTTCTGCTCGTTTCGAGATGACGTGAAAAAAAACGGTAGTTGCTTTCACTCCCACTTGAACGCGCTGCCAGCTGCCGCCAGAGTGCGCAAGCCACATGCTGCCGAGTTCGCTTTCATAAACACTTGCATTGTACATATTCAAGAGACTTCCATCCGGAATCTCTGCAGCACCGGCAACATTACTAAATATAGTAGAGAACACTCTCGCAGGAATTAGTCGCACTAGTGTGTAGCTCAACAACATAACTGTCTGCGCAGAAATATCACAGCTAGAAAAGAAAATGCTGGAACAAGTGTAGTCAAGACTGGGGAATACGTGTCTGTATCTCCAGGAAGACAAATATTGATTTCGAGACTAAACAGCGAGGTTCTTAGGAGACCGCGTCAATGAACAAGTTGTGCATACCACTACAGCGAAGGTTAATGCCATCGTCGATGCACCAGGGTCCAAATTTCGAGTTGAGCTCTAAGCAATTTAGGGTTGATTTCATTCTACGACCACCTCCTGAAGAATAGAGCGACAGTGACCTCGCCACTATACCAGCTGTCTTCGTTTGTTTGCAAACCCTGACGAAAACCGGCCCACTGGTTGAAACAATTGAAAATAAAATTAAGGCAACCGCTATATTGTGCCTCTTCTCTTCCGATATATATATATATATATATATATATATATATATATATATATATATATATATATATATATATGCTTCGAGCGAAATTTCAAAGCCGATTCCAGCTTGTCTTGTTTAAGCACGATTATGTTCACGGCCATGTGTGGTTTGAACACACTATTCGACGACAATGCTTCACACACAATGCTGTAATATGAGCTTCACAACTGATAATCACCGCCACTCAGTATCCTAGGGTGGAAAAAGCCAGTTGCACAAATATTTTCCTCAGGCTTGCATGACAAAATGGGGCCTGAAGCTGTACGCTTACGGCTACGATCGTTTTTAGAGAATGAGCAGTAGGAACCACAACGCAAATACATTGAAAAGACCATGACAAGACCATCCAACAATTTCTAGGTTTCGGTGACAATGCAGCTACAGAGGGTCTACATGGCTATACATGTATGAAAAGTGGACCATGCATCAGTTAACAAGTCTGGAAGTCATCACCTATAAAGCACACCGGCAACCGTCATTTTGCTATGGCACGTGGGACGTCATGTGCAGCATTGGCGGAATTGTCCGTCTTTTTCCAACAAAGTTTGAGCCATTGCAAATAGTTCAATTTAAATTCCAAGCTCAAAAAGAAAAATATCTCGATTTCACGCTTGCAACCAACCATGGAACATTTTCTTCCGCCGGAAGGTAGATGTTCCCACAGCAAGGGGCTTGCTACGTCCCGGCTCGCGAGTACACCAGTGTTGCCCGACACTCATGCCACTCCCGCGTTAATAAAAATTTTCAAATACCTCTATCTGCCTGCAAGATTAACATTTTTCCGCCTTGTGAATCACATAAAATTTTCAATGATTTTTTTTCTTGACTGGACTATTTTGAGGTTGATGTTCAGTTTCCCTAATAGAATATCGTAATCATCGTCAGCCTGACTACGCCTACTGCAGGACAAAGGCCTCTCCGTCCTGTCAACTCGATATTGTGCTTGCTGCTACCACTTTGTACCCGAAAACTTTCAAATCTAATCTGCCCACCTAAGTTTCTGCCTCCTCTTCACCCACTTGCCTTCTCTGGAATCCCGTCAGTTACCCTTAATGAAAGAATGGTTATCCTGCCTACGTGCTATATGCGCGGCCCATTTACATTTCTTATTCATTTCAACTGTGATATCATTAACTCCAGTTTGCTCTCTGACCCACTCTGCTCTCTTCTAGTCTCTTAAGGTTACACCTATCATTTCCCGCTAATACAATATATACCCACAAATGAAAGAAAAGCTAGAAAATGTAGTTATTTTGCTAAATAATTAAAGTAGTCTGCCTCTATCTTGGTGCCCGCCACAGCCTACATTATAGCCGCAATGCAAAAGTAAGTAAATTAGAAGGGTAACGGCTGGGGGTAGTTGGTGTGTCATTATGAATGCTACAGTGCGAACTAAAGATGATAATCCATACGCAAACAAGAGGGAGTGCTAACTTTCAACTGAGCCTACTGAGCAGAAACAAAAGTTTATATGTGTCTATACCACAAAACACCATGTGTGACGAATGAGGAGCGATGCAACAAGTCATGCAAAAAATTTAGCAGGCCAAAAAAGTCAAATAACAAAGAAAACAAACAAACAATAACAGCTTGGAAAAACAAAGGAACAACTTTGACTAAAAGTGCGCACCAGTGTTCCTGAGGAAACTTAATTCCTTCTCAGAGAGGGCGAGAGAAGGCTTACTAACGCTTGAAACACACTCACATGCCTTCTGCGGAGCCTCGACAATCATTCGGGTGTGATCGTCTCTGTGTTTACAAAGAGCAGCGTGTCCTCGAAAGGAGGAGCTGAGTTACACGAAGGACAATGCTGTGCAAGAAAATTGACTTTTTTGTTTACTTCCTCGACTTTTCTGCTAGTTCATCATGCGAGACGCGCTGTTGTTGTTTGAGGTTTTGGCCTATATAACCTTTCGTTTTTGCTCAATAACCTCAGATGGAAGTCAGTGCTCGTCCTTGTGTCCTCGTTCATGCTACACCATTTGCAGCACGTTTTCCTTTTTTAATGTGGTCATTCATAGAAAAAAAAAACAATGGGTCTATACTTGTGTTCATGTGAAATAGCAGTAGTAGTGGACTTTTATTTTCAACCACAAACTAAGGACCAAGCCTTCCGACCGCCTGCGCGACCAGTTGACGCTGTTCTTCCCCTTCGTCGCCGGTCCTGTCGAACCAGGGCATAATAAAAAGGGAAATGGGAGGGTAAAAGGTGAATTACTGAACAGTTAGGTAATAAAAACGGCATTGTGACAGGTCGGCATATCTAGAGAGTGAAATATTCACATGGAATTGAAGAAGCTACGCAAAATACAAGTGAAATGCATTTGTAACAAGCATTCAGAAACTGGGCGAGTTGCTATAGGGTTCATTTTCTAGCAAACAACGCAGCAAACAGGACTGAAAGAAAAAACAAAACGAGACAGAGGAGCGCAGCCTGTGTTGCTTCGTTCTTTCTTAGTGTCTCACTAGCTACGTAGTTTGCTAGAAGATGAAATGTATTTGTAGGAAAAGTATTAAAAAATAGAAACGTACAAGCAGAAGAGAATATATAGTACAAGCCAGAAAACAGAAAAACAAGAAATGAAAGAAAAAAATAACTGTGTATGAGGCACCATCATGTCATAAACTTTTTCTGTAGTGACATAACACGTTCAGCAGTGGTAAATTTAAGTTTTTGACTGAGTATTTTTACCATTCCTTGCGGAGCGCCAATATCACTGCTATATAAATATTTTAATGAAAACGCAGCATCCCTTGCCGCGTCACAAAAACACATTTTCTGCATTTTCCAAATACCTATCAAGATTCCACATTCTAGCTTTGATAGAGTGGTCTATTGCAAGGCTACACTGGGATATTTCATTGTATGATATGATACTGTAAATACACACAGCTGGTTCATTAGAACAAATTGAGCTGCAAGATTGATTATCTGTATTTATTCTCATAGCGGACATATTGCGAGTTCAACGTGATGGCGTTCTTTTCCTTCTTTGTCGCATATATATTACCCGTGTTTTTTTGGGGCAGGACTTTTATTGAAAAAAAAAATCCCTCTGGGAGATGCTGGTAATAAGAAACTTTCATTTCTTCGTGCCGTTAAGCTATGAACCAAATTCATCGCACCTTTCAGTTAACGTGAATGCATTTTCGATGGAGGCAAAAATGCTATACGTCTGTGTTCTCATATTTCTGATCACGTTAAAGAACCCCAGGCGGTCGAAATTTCCTGATCACTTCACTACGGTATTTTTTATAATAGTATGGTAGTTTTCGGGCGTTAAATCCTATATATCAGTCAATGAATGAATTCGTTAACGTGAATAATGAACTCCAATTACTAAGCTTGACTAGTTAAGTGCACCTCGCTTAATTTATTCCTGTGTTTGGGTATTATCCATTCTTATTGGCAAGCATCGCTCTCAGGAAATCGTCCCCGGTATAATAAGTGGGGTGTACGTGCCGTTAGGAGTAGGGATTTAAGTTTACAACTACTAGAAGTGCCAAGGAAGCATCACTCAGGCCCACCTATTTACCTTACTACACCTGCCACAACTGCGCTCACCAAATTGTAGTCACTCGTTTCTGCGTCAGTCGATTCAATACAATCCGGTTCTTGTTTGTTCCATGATAGGCGTATTGTTCGGACGACAGCTTCTACACGCACTGTCGCAGCAAGCGTAAGGCATCCGGGTGACAGAAAAGATGGTCGCTCAACTTGCTGGTGGGAAAGGACGCCCGTCCAAGGGCAGGACTCGCCAGCAGACCAAGTAATTTGTTAGCCGCCGGTTCAATCGAGCCCCGTCCCGCGGCGGACTCGAGCGCGCCTGCGGCGCCCTCGCTCGGCAGCTGCTGCGGTGCGCCAGCGGTGTGCTCCTCTCAGAGTGCGTCTTGCATGCCGGGGGCCGAGGTGGCCGAGCCGGCCGCTCTGCGCTGGCTGGGCGTCGCGGTCGCCGCGCTCGTGCTCCTGGCCGCTCTTCTCGGCAACATTCTCGTGCTAGCGGTAGTGTGCCGCTTTCGGCGCATGCGGTCGCCGACCAACGTCTTGCTCGCGAGTCTCGCCACAGCCGACATTGCCGTCGCGTTACTCGTGATGCCACCGCGACTCGCCTACGACCTGGTGCGTGCCTGGCGTCTGGGACTGCTTGCCTGCCGCCTGTGGATTTCGTGCGATGTCATGTGCTGCACGGCTTCCATCCTGCATCTGCTTGCCGTGGCGCTGGACCGCTTCTGGGCTATCACACGACCGCTGCGCTACCGAGTGTCCCGGAGGCGCTTGGCGCTTGCAGTGGCTGCCATCTGGCTCTGCTCGGCCGCCATCTCGTTCGTGCCCGTTCTGCTGGGATGGCATGCTGACGGCAGTGCACCGGATGCCTCCGACTGCGGCCTGCACGTCAACGCGGTGTATGCACTCGTGTCTTCACTTACCTCCTTCTACCTGCCGCTGCCAGTGATGCTCTATGTGTACTTACGCATCCTGCTAGTTGCTGGACGCCAAGCCCGCCAGATTCGGCTCCTAGAGCGCTCGCTGGCCGGACCTTCACCGGGACTGCGCCGGAGCCTGCGGCGCCGTTCCAAGCAGCTGCTTCATGACACCAAGGCGGTCCGCTCCTTGGGCATCGTGCTGGGCGTGTTCTGCGCATGCTGGCTGCCCTTCTTCCTCATGTACCTCATTACAGCCTGCTGCCCAGCGTGCGACCTCGGCTATGAGTGGAGTTGTGCCATCACGTGGCTCGGCTATTCCAATTCAGCCTTCAATCCGTGCATATACGCCTTTTTAAACCGCGACTTTCGAGCAGCCTTCCAAGAGCTGTTGGGATGCGGTTCTCGTCGGCGCACGGCCGACGCCATGCTTGGTCCAGCGCGACGACGTTCACTCATCAAGCCACCACCGTCGAGCGCACATGCCGTCGCAACGGCAGTATCTACTACAGCACGCGTCACTTCCATGGACTGCACGAAGGACTCTTCTGAGGCCGAGCGCCGCTAGGGCCCGTCCAACAGCTGCAGCGCGCCCGACTCAGCCGTCTAGCAGCCTTGTCTGCAAACTATAGCGCCTACTCGCGTTCACCAGCTCCTCGCTGCCGCATCAAGTCCGTCGTTGTTCTGGGTCTGAAGAAACGATCCTAAGACAGGACGATGAATGTATAGGCAGCACGCATCTTTGAGCATCGCTGATGTCAAGCAGTAATGGAACGCATTTCTTGGTGAAGCAACCGGCATGACGGCGGCCCCCATCCTTGGACCTGCGATGACGGTGTTCGGTATGTGCCAAAAAGTCACCCCTCTGGTACACTGACACACAAGCGATCTGGCACCTAATAGTGTCAACGCTCATCGTCTACTTCACTCTAATATGTGTCTTTGGCGTCAAGCACTCTTCATTCTCTCTCATTGCATGCTCTTCAACGTCGTGGCGTCGTCCTGGTCATGTTCACGTTGTTCCACTAGGTGTCCAAATATTTTGGATGTTTGGTCATCAAAAATATTCATGAAGCCTCAAGGCGAATACAAAGCATTGTCGTCGAATAGTGTGTTCAAACCACACATGGCCGTGAACGTAATCGTGCTGAAACAAGACAAGCTGGAATCAGCTTTGAAATTTCGCTCGGAAACCAGGGTCCTTATCGTCGTCCGAGAGAAATGAGACCACAAGAATGCGTGAGTTTATTAAAACAAAGTCGGTAGACTTCGTCCCTTGGTGGTTCCAGTACTGTGAGACACTGCAAAACATGCTTGCTGTGAGAACTGCCTCCTGCAATATTACATGATGGAGAACTCATCAATTGTTTAGAAGTGTACCAAGCAGCGGGCACTGCTTCGTGCACGTCTAAACATAGCACTCCTCTGTCTGTGCGAGTGTAAATATCCACTCGCGCGTCCACATTGCTATGCTGTAATTTAGGGAGGAAAATGTGGAAAGATACGACAAATCATTGTTCCGTCTTGTGCTTAGTGAAAGTGTATTGGCGTAGTTAATAAAATGGAAACTCCCAGAAGAGACGTTGTAGGTCAAAGCACAACGCTTCTTTTTCATTGATACTTAACACAAGTGAAGAGCGCAGACGCGAAAGGACATTTTTCATATGCATTCAACCAATAGTACTTGGCCAAAAAACCAAGAACAAGAAAATGTACACTGTTGCTTGTCTCCTGTCACGTTGATTATAGGCTTTTGGGCTGACAGGCGGTCGTTTATTTTTTCTTAATATTATCATTCATTATTTCCTTTCAGAGTCTTCCGCCTAATATACGAAGGCAGCCAAAGAAAGTGCTAACGATCTTGCCGCAGAAGGTCTCTTCTTGAACCCGTCGTTCACTCTAAGCTTAGTCGCTTAAACTCTGCTAACTCGCAATATATTAGAAACGTAACAATGAAGGTGTGAAAAAAACAACCATAATTAGGATGCTTTAAAATTATTAACACGGGCCGTAAAATGATTTCATAAAAATACGCAAATCAAGGTGAAAAAATTTTGTTTCAACTTATTTTCACATCTGCGTGTGCTATTCATTGAAAGAAATCTAGCATGTCTTTGCTGCGAGATATTTCGCAGCAAAATTCAATTGTGTAGTGTATGAATACGCGTGCAAGGCGGTAAAGATTGACGTGGTGTTCCTCCCCGATGTGACGAACAGTCATAGCTTGTTATCGCTAGCTGGTAGTAAAAGGGCAACGGTTACCATATTTAGCAATGCATTCAAGCCGTTGTTAGGTTAAACGGCGCACGCAACCACCGTCGTTCATCGAGGAGGAACGTCGCGCAAGGGCTGACTGTCTTTTATGCTTAATCATGCAAACCGCAATTAAATTTTGCCACGTAATATCTAGGAGCATCGACATGCTAGAAGAATTCTTCCACGTGTAACTGTGTACAAGTGCGACTGCTTCCAACTTTTCAATACAAATATGCCCACTTACTGCAGTCATTGAAAACTTCAGCCTTAGTTAATGGGGGAACTGACAGCCAGAGTTATTGTCTAACTTTGTGTCCCTGTCAATACATACGTTATGGGCAAAGGTGTTTTTCGTGTTCCTCCCAATTCTTAATCATTAGAAAAGTATAAACTGATAAACTGAACTTTAATCACTCGGTACACCTTCCACCACCTCATAGTACACCTTAAGCGCTGAGCTGGAGACACGTTTATCATAGATTGATTTGATATGTGGGGTTTAACGTCCCAAAACCATCATATGATTATGAGAGACGCCGTAGTGGAGTGCTCCGGAAATTTCGACCACCTTGGGTTCTTTAACGTGCACTCAAATCTGAGCACATGGGCCTACAACATTTCCGCCTCCATCGGAAATGCAGAAGCCGCAGCCGGGATTCGAGCCCGCGACCTGCGGGTCAGCAGCCGAGTACCTTAGCCACTAGACCACCGCGGCGGGGCGTTTATCATAGAACGGGCAGAGTTAAACCGATTGTGAAGCGGAGTGATCGCGATCAGCAAGTCTTCATTCACTTCTGTCGCTGGTGCTCCTGCCTGTGCCATATATATATATATATATATATATATATATATATATATATATATATATATATATATATATATATATATATATATATATATATATCATCAGGCAAGTGATACAGCTTAACACAATACACGTGTATAATGCGACAATACAAATGGCATGTGCGCTTTTTACAAAGACTGTACTGATAGTTGGTTCGTAAAGAAATAAAATAGACGTTCAATATGAAAAGTAAAAGAAATATATCTGAACTTATTAATTTTTTTTTCATTTCTACATGATGAGCTGAGCGCACTTTAAAATTTTCCGTTATCATGATACTCGGCTGTGATAAAGAAGCAGGCTACCGTATACTTGTTACTGTTCAGCAAGATAACTTACGTGGAATGGAGACACGTTAATGTGCGTGCATCTTCATTGATACCATCGTCTGGTATTCTTGGTCGTGAATTGAGTTGTCATGAGAGATCCCTGTTATCTAAGCTCAGAGTTGGTTCTGTGTCAGTATGCGAAGGAAAATACCATCAAGGACGCGCTGACAGCCTGAAATTTTCCTCATCTGGCCCCAGTGAGACACTAAATTACGCCATCTTAGAGTGTCCTAAATTCTTTGTACAGCGAACACTAATCGAAAATGACTATAGACTGATTGGACTTAGGTGCCATAAAGGTCTAGTGGCTAAGGTACTCGGCTTCTGACTCGCAGGTCACGGAATGGTATCCTGGCTGCGGCGGCTGCAATTCCGATGAAGGCGGAAATGTTGAAGGCCCATTGATTGATGATTTGATTGATATGTGGGATTTAACGTCGCAAAACCACCATATGATTATGAGAGACGCCGTAGTGGAGGGGTCCGGAAATTTTGACCAACTGGGGTTTTTTAAAGTGCACCCAAATCTGAGCACACGTGCCTACAACATTTCCGCCTCCATCGTAAATGCAGCCGCCGCAGCCGAGATTCGAATCCGCGACCTGCGGGTCAGCAGCAGAGTACCCTAGCCACTAGACCACCACGGCGGGGCTGTTTTAGGCCTGTGTGCTCAGATTTGGGTGCACGTTAAAGAACTCCAAGTGGTCGAAATTTCCAAAGTCTTCCACTACAGCGTCTCCCATAATCATATGGTGATTTTGGGATGTTAAACCCCACATATCGATCAGATGCATGACCCTCGACGATTGCTTGGTCCCAGCGGTAGATGGGGCTGCGTCTTTGAAGACCAGTAACTACTGCTTGCTGAAGGTGTCGTGCCCTGTTGATGTCCGTTAAGTTTTTTAGAAAATAGAATGCGTCGTTCAAATATACTGTTCTTTGGCATCAAAGATGACGCTAGGCAACACTGGACTGCTAAGGAAAAGAAAATATCGACCTTCTGCTCAGAGAAACTCGATATTGCTGCTCACAGCATACAGTTTGACAGAGCCCACAGATTAGGAAAGTTTTAAATAAAAAAAACGAAGACCTATTATCACTAAACTGACTGACTCTAAGGACAAATATCGAATCCTGGCCAATGTCAAAAAACTGCAAGGCTCCGATTTCTACATCAGAAAAGATTTTTTTGTGGCCACAAGGCAAGCGCGCCAAAATTGCTTGAACATGCGAAGACAAACAAAAAAACCCTTCAAATTATCAGTGGGCCGGATGCGCATAGGCGACAAAACGTACGCATACGATGTCGCATCGGCATCGGTGGTTGAGCTCAACAGATCGCTGGGTAGCCGGACGTCTCCAACGCATCGCGTTGCTCCATCATTTTCATTATCATTCACAAATATTCGAAGTGTAATGTCAAAACGTAACAACATTGCTGCCTATCTGGATGATTGTGATTGTGACAATTTTGCGCGGACGCAAACAAGGCTGCACCTTGAAATTTCTAGCAGTGAAATCGCTTCTCTAGCGGACACTCATGATATATACCGCTGTGACCACACCGAAAAAAGAAGTGGTGGTGTCCTTCTCGCTATAAAAGAAAAAAAAAACGATCACTTCTGAAGTGGTCAACACAAATTTTAAACTGGAGGTAGTGTGGGCCGTGTGTCTCAGTTTCACCACGAAGGTTCTGTTTGGTATTTGCTACCGCCCCACTGACTCCACAAACTACTTCTTCAATGTACTCAGGTCTAGCATCGATACAGCAACGCAGCTTTATCCGACTAAAATTACTTACCTCCTTGGTGACTTCAATTTTCCCCTTATTGATTGGACACAGCTGTCTTCATCTTGTCGCCTCTCAACAGAATGTATTGATTTAACTGTAGACTTTAACTTGTCCCAGGTTGTTCAGCTTGACCTCATTTGTTAGACCTCGTCCTTACGAACGCACCAGAAACTACAGGGCACATTACACATCTAAATAGTTTTAGTGATCACAACTAACTTCAAGCAAGCATAAACTTTCCTTTTCAATTCGCAGGAGATGAGACAAAAACCATACATGACTACAAAGGTAAACTATGCGGAAATTAACAAAACTCCTGACTCTTTTTTTCAGCCACTTGCTTTTACGGTCGGTTTACTAAAGTCCCAAGGAAGATAACTGGATATGATTCAAAGAAAAGTTGTGCGCACTGGTCGACCAACATGTGCCCATTATCAAAATGACAGCCGATATAGAACAATTTATGGTTCACAAAATATCTTCGACAGCTTCGTAGCAAAAATAAACGCTTATATAAAGCTGCAAAACGTTCGGACAACCAGACATTTTGGGAAAAATATGACAGCCGCGCTAAAGATTACTGCTACGCTCTTTCCGCTCCTAAAGATAAATACTTTTCTCGTGATTTATCCTCCCTGCTAAAGTGTAATCATAGGAAATTCGGGAAATCTTACGCCCCAATGTTCACAATAACCACATTGTGTTATACGAGGATAACGGTGCTCCTCTTCAGTACAATGAGTGTTCGTCTGTTTTCAATCAGTTCTTTTCATCCATTTTAAGAAAAGAAAGCCTAGAGAATCTACCATTAGTCACTAATTGCGACTACGAATACATGGCACCCGTAGACATTTCAATCGAAGGTATCGCGCACCTCATTCATAATCTTAAGCTATTCACTACATCAGGTTTCAATAACATTAACTCCGAAAGGCTAAAAGACACGGTCTCATTTTATAGCAAGATTATATTACACATTTTCCAGCAATCACATAATACTGGTCAGACTATAGCCGACCGGAAAACTGCCAAAGGTGTACCCATCTTTAAAAATGATGACAAAAGCAAAGTTGAAAATTACCGACCAATTTCATTACCGTGCATTTGTAAGATAATGCAACACATTATCGCATCTCATGTTTACAGTCATCTCGAATCTAATAGCTTCTTTTTCGCGAATAAGCATGGGTTTTGAGGAGGCTTGTGATGCGAGACTCAACTACTAGAACTAACAACAGATTTTTACTCCAACATCAACTCAAACCTACAGACTGTATCTACCTAGATTTTTCTAAGGCATTTGATCACGTTGCACAATATCGCCTCTTCATCAAACTATCCGAAATAAAAGCGGATTTGTTAACTTT